TTTTTGTCCTTTTTTGAGACCGGCCGCCCTGCGCTCAGCCAGTGAGCGCCGGCCATCCCTATATAGGATCCGAACCCGTGGCGAGAGTGCTGCCGTGCTCCCAGCGCCGCACTCTCCCGAGTGCGCCACGGGCTCGGCCCTTGAGGTTTTTTAAAATAAGTTAATATATTTTTCTGCCCATTCCCAGAAAAGGATAAATGGAGGGAACTTCAAAGGGAATCCAATCTGATCATCTCTCATTTAGTTTAATTCGCATACACTGACAAATACTGGGTAATGCATGGAGAATAAAAATGCCAATAAAGTAAGGCAGTTTGTTCCTGGTTTCAGAAGCCTGCCTGGGTGACAGGCCCTCATAGGCACTCTACACCTCTCACCTCTACACTGAGAAGGCCCTGGATGCAGGGCCTGCGGTGCTTTCCTGGTGTTCCCTCATTCCACCTATATTGATTGAGCCCCCGTTTTCTCCCTGTCTGTCTTCTTCATTCCCACGCCTAGTTGTCTTCTGTGACGTGGAATAGGCCTGCGCCTTCCATCCTAACCGCATCATGAGGGTCGTGTCTCTGAGTCCTCTTCACTCCCCTGCAGGGGTAGGGAGCCCTCAAGTGCGATACAGTGCCACAACCTGAGCGTGGCCAGGTTCCAGCCTAGGTCCTACTTTCTCACCCAGTGTCATACTGGGCTATTTATTTAACCTTTCTGAGCTTCAGTAAGTTCATCTATGAAGTGGAGCTATGTGGGGTATGAAACTAGATGGCTCGCTAAAATACCAGAATACCCTTTGTCTCTTTGCTTTCTCTTCCCAACACTTTTATGTTGCTGCTGTTGTCCAAAGGGGTAATCTAATTAAGTGTCCAGACTGAGATACACAGTTATCTTGGCTCTTTTCTTCTTTGGGTACATACTAGGGAGACAATGTATCAGGCAAGTGTTTATAGGATCACTTGAATGATGTGGTTTATGGTTGAGACATCAAGCTGTGAGAGTGAGAAAGTTTAGAGTTAATCTAAGTTGGAAAACACAGCCTGAGGAAATACACCCCTGGGTGTAACTGCTGTCACAAAAGTGATACCTCACATGCAATATTTATGCATTTTCTATGATGATGCAAAGTTAAGGGAAGCAGAGTCCCTCCTATGCCTGGAGGACATTGCTGTTGTCTCCCACTTTTCTGCAGCACTTCACAGAGCATCTTGGAATGTTTAATTCTCACAACAGTTGGGAGCATTAAGCAAGGCAAGTGCCAGTAGGACCCTTTTATAAAGTAAGAAACCAGGAGCCGGAGAAACAAAGTGGGTTTTGCACAGGTCACAGGGTAGTAAGTGGCAGGGCAAGATTTGAACTCTTCTCAGTCAGATTCTATACTCTGTGCCTCATGCTCACCTTCAGAGCGTTCTGTGGCTGCCCCTGCCTCATCCTCAGTCTGTTCCATATGTGCTGTCAGGAAATACTGCAAACTCACAGTGACTTAACCTCTCCTAATTTCTTCAGAATCTCCCAGGATATTGGCCCATGCCAGATGTCAGAACTGTTAATTCTAGGCATGTGTCATCTGAGCCTGGAAACCAGTACAGTGAGGGGCAGGGCACTCACGGGGTGTTTCCTTCCATGTATAGGCTTCCTGCTGTAGCCTGGTGCTGGTGGAATTGGGTGCATCTTGACGCAGTTGTCCTGGCCCCATTTGGTATACGAGGCCGTGAGATTCCAGTTACACCCTTGTGAGTGTGGCACCACAGCATGCTGAACACAGATACTGTTTCCTAGAGAAAGTCTATTTTGGCAGTTTTATCTTCTAGCTTTTACCATTATGAGAAGGAACTTAAAGTGGTCAGAGATTATCATAGCCTCTCAACCCTTCAGCATGACATCTGCCCTTCAGCATTAAATGCAAGTTCACAGTCTCTCATCCATGAAGGAGCATCCTGATGGTTTCGCTGGTGTTGGCTTTTTGGATAGCTGGGATCCTTTCAGTGATTGCTGGGCATTCTGGACATCTCCTTTCATTTTTTGAGAGTGATATGCCAGTGGCAACCAGAACTCAGTGCCTGTAGCTCACAGAAGCACAACAGGATGCTACATTCTGAGTTCCACCTGGAGAGGGACCATCAAACTCCTGGGGAGTGTTTGTGGGTAGAGTGCTTTAGAAGGAGTGGCTGAGGAGAAACCACCAAACCATGCTCCGCAGGGAGCCCTGGGAGAGGCACAAGGGCCATGGTGGCATCTCCCCACCCCGACCCTCCAGTTCTGATTTATCTTTTTAAAATTAAGATTTTATATACCCTTTCTTTGGATAAAAGTATCTTCTCCCTGCTAGAACCACACTTCTAGACATTCTCTTTGTTTTCTGTTGGTTCTAGATCTTTCTTTTAGCTTTCTACATGGAAAGCTTCTTGTTCTCAATATGTATCCAGATGGTTACAGGATGAGGAATAAGTAGCCAGGTGCTAATGCAGAGGGCTAGAGTCACGGCAGCAACTGTCCCCATAGGGCCTACCCCAGGGGCCTTTGGTAGGGTCTGGGGTCCTTTGATGTTCTAGCACTTGAGTTTCCTCATTCCCCCACTCCAATCAGACAAATCCTTCTTAATGTTTCACATGTTGGGCCCCCTTATAAGCTTTTGTTTAAAGAAAGGATCCTACTGCTAAAATGAAAAACCAATTCACATTTTTGTGGTTGGGTTTCTAAAATTATTCCTTTCACTGAAATACTTAGAACTTCAGTGTAATCAAATGGTCCAGGCTCATCTTGTATATCTCCTGCCCCAGTCCTAGCCTCAGCCATTTCTCCAAGGATCCCTGAGCATACATGAACTTTTAATAATCACCTTATTTGGTTCTAGCACTAACAAGCCATTGGCATCTATTTATTTTAGTGTATTTATAAATTAATGTAGGTGCTTCCACTTCTGGCCATGGATGAGTAACGTAAGGGAACTTGCATTCCTACCATAAGCCATTAAAAACTGGGTGAAATATAGAAAACAACTGTTTTCAGACAGTGGGACAACAGGCAGTGCAAACTTTGATCTCTGAGAGAAGGGAAACCAGCAAGGGAGGCCTTTGTGCTCACCTGGCTTTCTGTCTGAGGCAGTCTTTGGTTCACAGCACAGGTTTGGGGAGTCCAAGCAGAGCTGGATGATCTGGGTAAGTTGATGGGGGCAGAGATTAGATTTCTGGGAGGCTGAGGGAGCTGGAATTGTCAGGATACAGTACTGGAAGAGAGGGCACCACGTCAAGGAAGAGCCCCAGAAGTCTGGATAGCAGTTTGCTTGACTCTTTGGCTGAATCTGTAAATGCATAGTGCAAGCTAAGATGGCATGCTATAAGCTGGATAACTCCTAGAGTTTCCCTAGGGCAGGTCAGTGTTCTAATTCATTCCAGCTAGAGTACAGAGATTCATTTGAATGTGACAATTGATAGAGACCCCAGAAAAGGCACACCTTAGTGTTAAGGTTAATCTAGCCCTAGAGGTTAGTTTAGCCCTAGAAGTTTTGGCAACTTTAGGCCCTAATTAACAAAGGTAAATAACAGCTCTCAAAAAGAATCATGCTTATCTTCAAGTAATAAACTGCCTGTCAAAGTAAACTTCAGTACTCTTTAAAGGAAAGCAATAAAATTCAAACACTCAACAAGGAAAACTCTCAATGTCCAGCATTATGTGAAGAAATGGTCTTAACATTTCAGCCCTGGTCCTATTTATCCTTGCTTGATCATTCCAGGTGGAAGGGAACATTTTCCCTTGCAGATTCTCCCAGCTTTGTCATTTGTCTTTCCTGCTAAATCCCATGTGGGCATGCTGCGAGCAGACCTCTCTCTTGCACATGGGCCATATTAAGGGTTTTATGGATATAAATGAGTAAGTGTAGGAGGAGAAATAGAGGAGGGGTTTTTTTGGAAGCATTAAAAAATTTTAATAGTATATTATAACAGAAGCTACTTAACTAAGATCCAAATCATTTTTCTTCTGAGGAAATAATGCAAGTATATAAGCATTGAAAAGATAGACTCACAAAAGACATGCTTTTATTCTTTAGTTTGCTTACTAACATTAAAATATTCATTAAAGTTGAAGCTATTGAAGGTGTAGGTTTCGTAAAGCCAGAGAGACACCTTCCTCTTGCAAGTCTCTTCTCTATTCAGCCAACAAAATCTTAATATAAATGCAGCAAGAATAATGGATGTAAATTATGTAATAAGATGAGATGCTGTATCTTGTATTTTTATATTTCATATGTTACTACCCTTTCTGGAAACAATGACAGATGGGGCTTTTGAAACACAGAGCTTTTCACTGACCTGCTCAGACCTCCTAGAGATGGGCACTTTGTGTCTATCAACTCACAGTGGAGCAAAAACTATTTTGTGATATTATTGTCACTGGATTTATACAATTATTTTAGTGCTTTTAAGCTTGTGGGTGATATTGTCAGAGCTCCAGTGATAATGATAAACTTTTAAAAACACAAACCAGATTATTCTTGGAACTTTTTTTATTCCCAAACTTTCTGGCAGCATTGAAGGTTGACCAGCTATACCTATTTAGATTATATTATTAGATTATAATATGGCCGTAGGGTTATTTGAATAATGTCTTTATTTTCAAGATTCATTTTTTTGTCATTCGGTTGAGGTAAGGGTAGAGAAATATGCCATCTAGTAGACAGATTAATCATGGAATTTCCCCATCACAATTTAGAACATTTTTAGCCACATCATGTATGTATCTGTGGCCAGCTTTTGCTTCCACATTAATGGCATCCTTGACTTGCAAGGTTTCCTTTAGGTGTGATTGACAACATAAATTGAGTTGACTGCCAGAAAGCTAGTTTTTAATAAGTACCTTTCAAACAATCATATCATCCCCACTGGATCTTACCAATGGATTTGAGTTTCAGCAAATGGATATGAGTTTCAACAAATGGATATGAGTTTCAACAAATGGGTAGTGTTTCCTAAATACCAAGAAGATATCACTGTTGCCCACTAGGCAGAGACGTGGACCTAACTCCCTACTCTTTTTAAGGAGATGCTGTTGTCGGCCTGTCTTCTTCTGCATCTTTGAGTGAGATGCTCCGGAATGTTCAGCAGTGCAAGCCTGCAAGGCTTATGGAGGAAAAGGGTAGCCAGGGAAGTTACACAACTCTCCCCAAACAGGACCAGTTCTGCAAGGTTCATGAGGAGCTCATCTCCAGGGGAGCCAATGTCCCTCTTCAGCTTTAGCCTGGCCCGTTGGAGGAGTGCGATGTTGTAGAAGAGTCGGCAAGCGAACATAGTCAGGGTGACAGCCAGCACTATCAGGTAAGCAGAAGCTGTGTCCCTCTGGGGAGGAGATGCCTGCCGGGCCAGTCTGACAATGAGCAAGATGAAGAAAACCAACTTGAAGACAACAGCAACCCCAAAGCCCAGGCTAAACTTTACAATTTCATATTCAGGCCAAGCAATCAGTGGGTCCACCTGGCACATTGTGGTTTTGTGCAGTTCCCCTGATATGCCCAGCAGGGCCACCACTACCAGAGAGCTGCAGAGGGCACAGCCCAAAATAGCAACTGGGCCCATGGCAAGCTTCTGGGCCCCCTTGGTCCGCATGAGCAGACAGGACAAGAAGCTTGGCAGTAAGACCAAGACAAGCATCACCAGCTGCAGATACTGAGCATTGAAGTAGCAGAGGTTGGAGAGGAAGGAGAGGACCCCGCAGTGCAGGTTGGTAGTGAGAATGTAGTTGGGCCTGCTGATGGCGCTGAGTGATAGCAGCGTCACCAGGATGTTGGTAACCGTGAGGTCCGAGAGGAGCACGTCCAGGGCCCCCAGCCTGGTGCGGCCCCGTATGAAGGTGGTCAAGTTGAAGAGTCCAGTCACTAAGCTCATTGGGACAAACAGAGCAACATAGATGTGTGTGCACCTGGAGATAATGCTCTGCGAAGCTATGACATCTTCCACAGCCGGGGACACGTGGCTTGGGTACCCGACCCAGGACATGTTGTGGAAGCCCATCTCTGGGGAGAGTTGTTGGATCTGTAACAGAAGCACATGGCGCAATGGTTAGGTGGGGCTTTCTTGTCAAGGGAGCTAGCTCTCGTTGAAGGGACAGTGTTTTCCTAAGAGGGTGCCTAACTTCTAGGCTCTGCTGGCGGAGCAGAGGAAGGAATCTGGGCAGTCAGGGTGTTCTCTGGACCACTCCATCAGTGTTTGAGAAGCTTGTTCAGAAGGAAGATTTCTGGGCCCAGCCCCCCAATTTCGATGGAGTGGGGGTGGGGCGTAGGAATTGGTGTTTTTAACAAGCTTCCCTCCCTGAGAGGTTCTGGGACAAACTCATGTTGAGCCCCAGTGGAGCAGTGGGGTCTGGGAATCTGTGAGATGCAGGAGGGTGGAGTGCAGGGATCCCCACTCCCACCTTTGTAAACATCTTCTCTACCTCCCCTTGCCCCACACCTAAATGAATCTATCACTCATAAACTAAACTGCTTTCTTTGAGCACAGCCACATCTAAATATTACTATGTTTAGAATAATTGACTCTAAAGTGTGTGCTCCTGTAAGTAGGCTCTTTGCAGTGGTATTTATCTTCCTGAAGAGGAGTTCAGTGAATGATTTCCAAGGAGTGAGAGTTCTAGGATTTCCAGTTTTTACCCTTGGGATCCAGTGCTTCCTGATTCCCTCATTGAGTGAATTGCCCAGAATCCACGTTGCTTGGAGGCAGGGCAGAGTCGACTTTGCATTTGTAATTCGTCTTTTGGACCCAGAGAAATTCTGACCAATATTGTCCTGTTTGGGAACGCTTACCACTCTTAAAATAGACACTGGAGACTAAGGAGGTAGTGCGGTCTGGATGCTGGCTCCTTTGGACTGTAACCCCTCTTCCCTAGCAGCCAGGAATTGCTTTCTTACCGCTGAGTTTTAAAGTCCTGGTGTTAGGGCTTTAAATAACAGTGCTGACAGACTCAGCTCCACGAGCCCATCTCTTGTCCGTGAAATAATTTTGTTTCTAACAAATGCCCTGCTCCCCCTAAATTTTAACTAAATAGTAATAAGGCTGGGATGTAGTATTGCTGTTTATTGTAAGGAAATTGAAGGTAATAAAATTGGAAATATAATTTTAATGGAATGCTCAAAGGTGGGCCTGGCTTCACAGTCGGTTTCATTTTCTTTGCAGAGGCAGCTATAGCTCCAGGGAGGGCTGCTGGTCTGGATGAGCTCAGGATCCCACTGTGAGGAGCAGGAATGAACCTTGAAGCACATTCTTGCTGATGCGCCTGGCTGGCAGGTGCATAAGGTGTGACCACAGGTTGCAGACACATAGCTCAGAAGTGGAGAGCAAAAGTGAATGGCCAGTTTTCTTCCTTATGCATAACAGCTAGAATAGTTTGCTCTGTATCCCCAGACTTTGCTGGTCATTTGGAAACGGGTTTAGTAGATACACAGACTCCTGTTTAACACATGAAATCTTCACATACTATGTCATAGATGCCTTTCTGCGCCTATGCACATAGTATGCATCTATCTCGTTTCTCTGATACGTAATATTCTATCGACTAAATGATACATATCAAAATCTCTTATCAAACTCTAACAGGAATCAGTAGTTACCCTCCTCTGGGACAATATGAGGACTTATAGATTTTAACCGCAGGAACCCTCTCCCCAAATTATGTAATTTTGTTCTGTATTGTAATTCACTCTAATTTTTCAAAATCCACAAAGAATTAGTGTTTTGTACAATTAGTATTTAGTTAGTTGTCCACATATTTACACTTTCTTGCTTTTCATTCCTTCTTAGAATTTAGATCTTTCATCTAGAATAATTTTCCTTCTGCTTTAAGTGCATTTTTAGAATCTTAACAGGTGTTTGCTGGTGGTGAAAACTCTCTCTTTGCTTGTCTAAAGATTTCATGGTTTTTCTGGGGCTAGAATTCTAGAATAGCTTTGCTCATCTTGCTTGGGATTCATTGGGCTTCTTGATACTGTAGCTTAATTATTTCCCTCAGTTATGGAAAATTCTCGGTGCTTATATCTACAAATATCACATTGGCCTTGTTCTCTCTTTCCCTTCCTTCTAGGACTCTGATCAAACATTGTGTTAAACTTTCTCACTGAGTAATTTCATCAGACCAGTCTTACTGGTCACTGTTTTTCTCTTTAGCTGTGGCTAATCTGTTCCTAAAACCATCCCCTTAGATTTTATTTACTTATTTATTTATTTAAATTTTTATTTAATTTTTTGGCAGTCGGCTCATACAGGGATCCAAACCCTTGATCTTGGTATTATAAGGCTGTGCTCTAACCAATTGAACTAACAGGCCAGCCCCTCCCCTTAGGTTTTGAATTTAAATTTTGTGTTTCTTATTTCTAGAGGTTCTATTCTGGTCTTTTAGAAATCTGACATTTTTATAGGTTCCCATTCCTCAAAGATATCTTCAAGCTTATATTTGAAGATAGAATAATTTTTATGTGATAGAATAGAATAATTGTTACTTGATAATTCCTGGAGTCTAATTTTATTGTATCTCTGATTATCTTTGAACAGGGTATTGGGTGCTGTACTTGAGAATTTATGTTTAGAAATAATTTGTAAATGACAGTGATTTACTCCAAAAAATATCTGGTTTCCTACAAGGCGCCTGGGGGCTCCTGAGTGCTGGAGGGTGAGGTTCCCTGCTGGCCTGGAGCCTGGCCACAGCTGTGGCTCTGTGAGGCCAGCACCCCTAATGCCGTCCCTCTGTGGCTCTGGCGTGAGAACTCCTTGAGCAGCAGCATCTCATTTGGCTTCCTGTGTGCAGCCCTTGGGCTGTCCATGAAGTAATGACTATTCTGCAAAGACAGTGCAGAAGGGCCAAAGCAGCGACCTCTCCACATCGCCTTTCACCTTCGTTTTTGCATGGCAATTCCTTATTCTTGTCTTTTTTTTTTTTTGCTTTTAGAAATCTGCCCAACCCCCCCCCCCCCCCCACTTTTTTTAAATCTTCTATTTTTTTTTACTGATTTTCAGTATATGGGTTGATCTGAGTAGTGAAGCCCACTATCACCAGAAATGGGAGGTCCAAGGATAGGCCCCTGTCTGTCACCAGGCCTTGCTGGTTATGAATGATAGGTGAGTGCGTGGCGGATGATCGGGTGGCATTGGATCCTAAGACTTTGGTGTGACCTGCCCTCACCACTAATGCACCTGTCCTTTGGGCCACTCACTGTACCTTTTTAAAACTCTTTTACCTCATTTTTAAATTGGGGATGAGAACAGTAGCTTCTCTAAGTAACTCACAGGCCACAGGAGGGCTGTGTGGAAGGAGGAGTGCACACTGTAAAGCTCTGTATATATGCTGGCTCTTTAGTGTCTGGCTCTGATGTTCTTGTGTGTTTTGATGCGTGAGAGGTTGTACCTTTCACTCTTCATCCCTTAGGCCTGTGGAGGCAGTTTGGATCCATACGTTCTCCAGGTATGTTTCTAGCTTTTTTGGTCTGAAGAAACACAGTAGTGAATTGTAATGTTTGCCACCTGCCAGTGCCCAAGGTGATGAGTGGCTCCCAGGATGTTGAGCAGCATGGAAATTAAGAATAGTGACTGCACTGAGAGGAAATGATTAGGAATGTTTGTTTAATTAAGGTAAATTAGAAAGAAGATCTCTTAAACATTGACTACAAGTCAGAAAACAGCATTAGGCTGTCCAGATGTCTGGTCTCTGCAGCTTGTCAATGTTTCAGACACTTTGTGTGGAGAATGTGTCGTTGCGGTTGATAGAGTTTGTGGACGTCCATTGTCCATTGCCAGCTGCCGTCCTGGCTTACAGCAGTCAGCTCTGCTCTCTCATTTGGTCATAGCCAGATGGAAGGAAAGTGTGTGTGGCTGAACTTGACCTGAGAGCACATCCTGGACTCTTCAACATAATGGAAAATGTCGTAGACTGCTTTTTTACTTATTCTGAGCTTTTCTCCAGAGGCAAGAGAGGACCTTGCTCAGGTGGAAAAAAGCTTTAGCTGTAAGATGACTTTCCCCTGTGCTATGTTTTTTCTGGTGAGAGACCTTGGGCTCTGGGGTCCCCAGGCAGAAGTTGGGGTTCTGACTTCATGGCTTCTTGTTGTGAGTGGGGTGCCTAAATTCTTGGGTCTCACTGTCCCCATCTGGGTGGTGGGTACCAGGACAACTGTTTTCCGGGTTTGGGGACATGAAGAAAAGGAAAAGCCACTCAGAAACTCTTGCATAGTGCTAGGTGCTGGGCACAGGTGGGCTCCTACTTTATCCCACCTGCACAGCAGAGCTCAGGGGGCTGTTGCCCCTCTGCTCATGTCTCTTTTTCCTGCGCTAAACCCTGTTTAAGTCTAGTATGTATTCACTAAGGTTTGTGTTCTGATACTTTTGCCCCAGGGCTCCTCAAGGAAAGGGTAGAATTCATAGACTCAAGTGCTGTGCAAACCCAGATGAGTTCACGTTCCTTCCCCTTCATTGGCCCCCTGACACGAGGTCCTCACAGTTGATGCCTATAGCCAGTTTGGGGAAGGGGAAGTGGACGCATTCAGCTTTGCCCTTTCCCAGGCCCGTGGAGCACCAAGCCCTGGGTACACAGCCTCACGGGCCTTCTGGCCCATAGCTGCTCTCTTGTCCTGACCCCTAGTGGCCCTGGACAGCCTTTCTTAGTAGCTAAGATCACACACCTACTGGGTTTGGTCAGCTACTTTGTCTGCCTGGGCTGGACCTCCTCGTTTCTTGACCACCACTTTTTTTTTTTTTCTAACTGAAGGGATAACATAACAAAAACATGGAAAACGTTTTCTCTTGAAATCACCCACAATTCCAGTTCTTCCCATTCAACCTTCTGCCCGTCCATTCCTGGCTCCCTTATATGCTGGGCTTCTTTTTGGCCTTGACAATCTCTCACTTCCCTCCCACCACCACCACCTTACCACAAAAGAGAGAGAGTGAGAGGCAGAGTAGGGTAGTGCAAAGAGACCAGGCTGAGCATGAACCTTGGTTGACAAACTATTATCTCTTACTGAGTGCTTACC